TATATATATATATATATATATATATATATATATATATATGAAGACTCCTTTTATTTGAACCCAAACGGTGATATTTCATAAAAGAGAGTTGTTGGCGTTTTGCTAGGTTTTTTGTGTAGAGAAGGAAATTACTTTGTCTGAGGAAGCATTTGGGCTTGGCCTTGAAATATGGCCGCTTTCATTTTTCTTGCTGTCTGGAATCCGAGCTCGCTCTCTTTATGTTGCCATAAAATTTGGAGGCGAGAGAGGGAAGTAAGAAGGGAAAGGGAGGGCTTTCTCCATGGTTCTTTAGGGGAAGTGGGAGAGTACGAATGAAGGGGGATAGAGAGAAAAAAAAGCTTAAATCCTAGCTCGAGGGTAGGAATGTAGGGGGAGAGTACGAAGAGAGAGAATAGGACTAAAGGGAGAAAGAGAGGGTTTTCTACCTGTTTGCATAGGTGACTGTTATACGTCATTTTCGACATACCTTAGTCCCTCAAGCAAATAAAGGAGAGAGCCAGCTACAACCTAGTCACAGCGGCATGCAAGACACGGTCCCGCGGGGGCAGTAGCCGAGAATAAGCCTCGAATAAAAAAGACCAAGGGAAAAGCACCTGTGTACCCAAAAGGCGAACTCTTATGACACCGTCATGTACACAGGATCTTGATAACGTGCCAAACAACCACTGCCGTCTCCTGCCACTCAATCGGGTCAACCCAGTAGTACTAAGCCCAGACCATCGCGAAGTAAGGCAGATGCACGCTTTCGCCGTACGGCCTCACAGAACCAGTCGATGACTATGGAGATTTTTGGCCACTCTTCGACAAGCTCGCGACTCCTTCTCTGCATTAGAAGAATGGCCAAGGCTTCAGATGCCGGTAAAGCCTCAACAACACCTTCACCCTAATGCGCAAACGTGAAGACAAATCTGCCCTACGAAGAAGGAAAGATGACATGAATTCATGGACACCGAAATCTTCAGAAAGACATCTTGTTAGTTAGGTGCCTCGATCTCGCCCTTCGGGTCGGGTTGACCTCGTGGCATGGTTCTAGGTTTGAGATGGGCCCGAGACCTGAGGTCGCTCTCTCGAGAACAACGTAAATAATACGTGAGCAGGAATACCAACCGGTGAGAGAGGAATTAGGGTCGTGAGGCTGGACTTACCTCACGTGGGTATGTGACACGCTCGAGCTGGCTCACGTGGGCGCCCTCTTAGATCACGTTGGAAAGCCCCCCTGGCCTATGGCTTGTTTCGAATCGCCACCATTGACCTGTTTCTCCTTTCCTGCAAACACACACACACACACACATTAGAAGTACAAACAAGTGGGGCATAGGGCCTCCACCTTGTTACAGGGCGAAGTGAAAGTGAGAGAAGAAGTTTGACCAGGCGGCTTGGCTGACACAGTGGCTAGACCAATAGGTGATTGACCCAACATGGTAGTAAGACGGGTACGGTAACTCAGACCGGCACAACGACATTACTACTAGACAACGGAACGAACACCGATCAGCCTGGCACGATGGCTAGACTGTCATGGCAATAAGACGGGCATGGTAACTCAAACCGGCACAATGATATTACGGCTAGACGACATAACCAACACCGACCAGCCTGACACGATGGCTAGCCTGTCGTGGCAGTAAGAGGGGTACGGTAACTCAGACTGGTACAACGACATTACTGCTAGACGACAAGACTGACACGACAGGGCAAGGCTCAGGCTGCCCTCTGGTCAAACAAGTAAAGAAGAGAAAGAGAAGAGATGAAGGCTAGCTCGACCCTCGCTAGGTCTTCAAAAAGAGACGAAAGTGAAAATAAAAGTGATGGTGAAATAAAAATGATAGAAAATGAGATGAAAGGAAAATGAAAGGGATGGATTAAAAATAAAATAAAATTTAAAAAATGGAATTAGGAGTAAAATGGAATAAAGTGAAGCGAAGTGAAGTAAATAAAATGAAATGAAGTAAAATAAAATGAAAGGGATGGAAGAAAATAAAATAAGATGAGATAATTAAAATAAAATAAATAGATGGAATAGAGCAATAAAGTATGGTGAGATAAAATGAATGAAGCAAAATAAATGAAATGAAATGGAATGTGGAATGGACCAAAGTGAACTAAATGGATTGAAATAAAAAGGAGTAAGATGAAATAAAATAAAGGAAAGGGGTATAGTTTTAAAATAAAAATAAAATGAGCTTAAAAGAGGGAGAGTTTAACATGTGGGAGAGGATTGAATAAAACAGGATTAAAAGAAGAGACACGTTTAGGTTAAGGGAAGAAAGGGGTTAAAATTTGGGCTCTTGTATAAAAAGGAGTAACATATTAAAAAAAGGAATAATGCTTTGGTTTAAGAGAGAGAAAGAGAGTAACATATGGGAAAGGGTAGGATAAATAGTAATAAAAAAGAAGTACGATTTGTTGAAGAGAGAGTTGGGGTATTGGGTTATTTAGACCGGGGGAGAGAGGGAAGTTTTTGTTTGGTTGAATGAAGTACGGTGAGAGGAAACGAAATTAACGAAAACCTCAAACGAGAAGAAAGAGACGAAAAAGGACGAAGGGATTTGTTTGGAGGTTTTAGAGAGAGAGAACCAAACGTGGAGGGCTCACTATTGGGTTTAGGTGAGGGAGGATGAACGAAACGAAAACGAAAACGAAAACGAAAACGAAAACGAAAATAAACGAAAAGAAGAAATGGGTTCTCGCTTGGGGGATCTTTAGAGAGAGAAAGTACTGCTAGGAGATGGGAGAGTTGCAGAGGGTGAAAAGGCACGAAAAAGCAAAGGTTGGATGCAAGCAGCGGAGAGGAAGAGGGGAGTGTCCTGGCTGCAGGTAGCGGAACAGGGAGAAGTGAGCAAGATAGGTTGAGTTGAGCATGGCGGAGAGAGAACGGAAATGGCAGGGTAGATGGTTGCAACAGGAAGTGGTGGAGGTGAAAGAGTTGCAGGTGATGGAGGACAACGGCGTAGTGTGGAGATGTGGCTAAAAAGGCGGAGGAGATGGCTGCAGTGGAGATGATTCGTAGCCTTATCACAGTGGAGATGAATGATGGCGAAGAGTCGGGTAGTGGCAGGAAGAAAAAGGCAGAGATGGAGGTTGCAGGCAGGTGACGAGAGAAGAAAGTGGCTACCTGGTTGTGGGTGTGATCGTAGGTAAAGAGAGGTGGTGCTGCACCAGAGGTTGAGAGAAGGGGGTGGCAGCGAGTAATCCTGGTCACAGGAAGAAAGTAGAGGGATGGGCGAGAATGGTAGGAAGAGGGTAGCAACCAGCTGTTGAGTGGTGAAGGATGGTGGCTGCAGTTGAGAGAAGAGGAGGTGGCTGAGAAGAGAGTGGCGGATAGGTAGAAGGTCGTAGGGCAATGGCGTGGAGAGGGGCGTACGGCTGTGGGTTGAAGGGAGAGGTGGAAGAAGGGGGAGAAGGAGGAGGATATGGTGACTATGGAAAGCGATGGGTGCAGGGAATTGGAAGAAGAGAAAGTGGGTAAGGAAGAGAAAAATATTGGTTGGTGGACAGAGGACAGGGAGAAGGTAGTGTGGCTCGTTGCAGCTGTTGAGGAGAGGCGAGGACAGCAGCAGAGGTAGAGACGACATCGGTGGAAAAAGGATTGGTTTGCAATTCACGAACGGCGCTAGGTAGAGGATTGCACAGACAACCCTAGGTAAAAGGGGGAACCCGAGGGACTACCAGATAAAGAAAGGGGAGGTGGACCAGAGGGTACACAGGGACCAAGTGGACGTCCATGTAGCACACCACAAAGAAAAAGAAGCTAAGTGGACCCGAGGGACCACCAGGAGATAGAAGGGAAGGGTCGTCATGAGGGACCATAGAGAGGGAAGGAGAAAGAGTGAAAGAGACGGCGATAGGCTTTTGCTGTCTGTGAAAGTGAAGAGAGAAAGAGAAAGAGCGAGGAGAGAAAGAGAGAGAAAGAGAAGAGAGAGAAGAGAGAGAAAAGAGAAATGGAAGGGAGAGAAGAGAAAAGCCCAAAGGTACCGACCTAAAAATTTCTCTCTCTTTCCTCTCTCTCCAAGAACGTGACCCAGTAATGAAGAAAAGAAAGAAGAAAATTTTATTAAACAAAGTGGGGTCCTTTGTACAAGGATATCACGTGAAATATATAGACTTTTGCCCAAACATAGGTGGATTGATCAAAATTAACCCTAATTGTTGAAAATTAAGATTTAATTAAATTAAAAGAAATTCTAAAAATGGGTGCAAAATGATTGTTTTACCCTTGCCTAACAATTCATAGAATTTCAAAACAGTCTCTGCTGCTGCCTTAGAATGTGCATAATCTTCCGTAAATGATTCGGGGTTGGTCTGGTGCCCGTTTGTCCGAAAGATGATTGCTTTCTTATAGGTCTTAGCATGACGATCGATTTGATACCAACTACGAGCTATAGATCGTGTTTTTAAGTCACGATCATACGACTTGAAATTTGGATAAATCTTGAAAACTTCGGACCGATAGTGTACTCGTTCCTTGATGTTTCTTTGTGATTTTTTCACTAGATCACACTAAGCATGCCGCCACGATCGCATGGCAACAAACGCAGCTCGATTTCATGTTAGGATGAAGATTTTGCAACTTTTGGGTTTTGGCTGGAGTCTAGAATTTTGATGCCGAAATTTATAGTCACTTTTATTGGCTTCGTGTACGAAATCCGACCATTCATTATGTATGGGTTTTGGACCAAAGATAATCCTAGACCTTACACATACAATGGAACTGGTCTTGCGTCAATCCGATGCGCGAGCATCGTGATTTGACCGCTCGAGCGACGTGTGCCGCTGCTGCAACTTTTTTCACGGATCAGCAACTTCTCTCTAGCTTTCTCCCCGCTTAGGCGTTGTCATGGGGCATGCCACATATTGAAACACTCGTCTTAACGAGACGAACATGCTCACAAAAATTGAGTGCAATCCGACTCGAACGAGTGAGATATGGCCCTCAAAAGTTGCTACCCGAGACTGTAAAACAACCACATTTAATGGTGATTTGATGTAGAGAGGCCACACGCAAATAGTGTGCAACTTATCCCTTTTCGGTATTTCATCCATAACTTTGTCCTGGAGTGCCCGATTAAGCCGAAACTTGACCCATATGGGTCTTCGACCGTAACGGAGCCAATGACAGTGGTCCCACAACAATTTGACATACTAAAAATAGAGATCTAGTTATGGTGTCCGTTTCTCGGTGCTAGAGGCTGATTTTTTTGAAATTGTTTATTTGTCTGCACTGCCTTAGACATGTTTGGTTGTGACAAAACGTACCAAATAGCCTTTTGAAGTGCTTAAGAACATTCTGACTCGTTCTGAGGCAACTATGGGACTGTCGAGAATTTCACTATATGTCAAGGCTTTATTGACCGACTTCCTTTTTATTTCACATCAAGGACCGAAGGTGCTGAAAAATGTCTTCAAACAGCTTGCCCCACCGAATGTTTTGCTTCGAGAGAAGCGAGAAGGACAATATTTGAAAAATTTCCTTTGGCTTTATTACTTTTTACTTTCTAGCCATAGGACAACGTGAACGCCGAGGAGATTCACGCAATGTTGCAACTAGGATGCCTAAAAGTTTGGATGCAATGTACAGGTTCATCTATGGAAACTTTAGGGGAAGAAGAGATTTTTTTGAGGGATCCTGTCGAAGTCCTCACTCTCAAGAGACTAATTATGATTCTGACAGTTGAGGATTTTGTACGGACATCGTTGGTCAGAATCAGGCTCGTTTGACGGTCGAGTGCCATGTTAAAGGGCATTTTTCCCATTTTGGTATGGGTTTGTGGATGGTTTGTTAAAGGACCTTTGCTTGGCATCCATCTGCGTGGTGCACCAGGATTGTACTTAGTTGGGCAGGGTACCTCTGTTTATCGAGGTGATCGTTGTAGTATAACCACCCTACCCCCTGCTTGCAGTTTTGTTAGCATAACAGGTCCAAGTTCTGGCTGACTTTGGCCTTCTTAGGGTGTCTTTGGCATTTTGTAGTGTGTTTGTATTGTTGTTGGTTGTAGATGGTGTGTTGAAGGGCCTTTGGTTGTCTTCCGTTTGTGTGGTGCACTAGGATTGTACTCAGTTGGGCAGGGTACCTAAGTTTATCGAGGTGACCGCTATAGATATAACCCCTGCCCCCTGCTTGCAATTTTGTTAGCATAACAAGTCCAAGTTCTGGCTGACTTTGGCCTTCTTGGGGCATCTTCGGCATTTTGGAGCGTGTTTGTGACCTCGCGGGAATAATGCTCTTCCTCATGAGACTTGTCTTGCCGTCTTTGCGAGTCTTCTGTCCTTCGAGTCCTTTTTATAAATGGACTATAGCTGTTGGAATCTTGCTTGATGCTCGGATTTTTGGATCCTGATATTGTGACTGGTTAGGTGCCTCGATCTCACCTCCCTTGATCTAGGTGATCGAGTGACACATGTGTCAAGTTTGGAAGACCCGGGACCTGAGACTGCTCTCTCAGGAACTTCGTTTAAGAATAAGGGCAAGTGTCCAACTAGTGGGAGAGGAATTTTAGATGTAAGGTGGGGACCAACCTCACCTGGGTCCGTGACTTACTCGGCCTGACTGGTATGGGTGCCCTCTTAGATC